TCTACTTATTCTTATTTGGCACTCACATTAGAAAAACAAATTCTAAAGTTGATAGAGAAAATGCCAGAAGAAGATGAATTAACTATTACAAAACGGGGGGAATTAAAATTAAAAAGAAATGGAGAAGAACAGGCATTACGATTAACATCACAACAACAATCCTCCGGGATTGAAGAATATTTGGACGAATTTAGAGAATGGCGAGACGACAAAGTAGAACTACCAACTATTGAAGGCAGTACAGAAGCACAGTTGGGGGTAATTTTAGCAAAATTTAATTTTCCTAAGAACAGAACTTTTGAAAATTATTATGTTCTTGGAAAAATCATAAATGATCACCCTTCAACTTCAAGGAAGAGTATTAATAGGATATTGTCCAAACCGAACGTGGAGGATAAACTTGTCAGATTAGCAAAACGGACTGTGATCTTATTTGACATAGTCGAATTATCCTACTTATCCTTAAGAAGATTAACTCCTCGTACCCTTCAGAACCTGTCTAATGAAAAATTCGAAGAATTAATTAGTGGAACAAGAGAAATCGTTGCAGAACGATTAGCACCACCTACTTTATTAGAAGCACTTTTGGGAGATTTTACTTTGCCTGTTTCGCAGGAGCTCAATTTAGAAGGAGGAGTGATGTTACCAGAATCAGACGATTACAACGATAATTTGGCCGAATCCTTTAATTTCGGGTCAAATTAAATTTTATTTCTATTTTTATTTTTATTTTTATTTTTATTTTTTTTATTTTTATTATTTAATCTATTATTTATTTTTATTTTTATTTTATTTTATTTTTACTTATCAATAACGTGTATAATTATTTATTATTATTAATCATTCATATTTAGTTAACTTTATTTAGTAGTAGATTAATGACGATTCTCCCGGAACGGGCGGATTCGCCCAAGTACAAAGTGAGCGAATTCACGCAATTCGGGCTAATATGTGAAGAACATGTATATAAAGAACTTGATTTCGACCTAATGTAAAAGTAACTTTCTTATAAGTTAATTAGTTTCGACTAAGGAAAACTTTGTCATAAGTTAATTAGTTTCGACTAAATAAAACTAAATAAATAAAATAGAAATATTTTATTTAAACTATTATCTTCTTTAAACAAAATTATTCGCTAATAACAAAATCAATTCGTTGATAACCTATTCATTCTGATCCACACAAAACAAAAATAATTGTTATCACCAATTAAAATACGCTCTCCCAAATTTAATTGGTGACACTATCTTTAAATAATTATGTATTTTAGTGATATCCCACTGATATCTTTTAATTCCAAGACATAGAGTGTTAATCCTAAGTGTGTGGTTATTAAATCATCTGCTTTATGTAGAATTCTTCAGTGGTAATGTCGCACTCTTCTACTTCAATCATTAAGTAGAGAGTGAGTTAAGTAAGTTGTAGATTAATTTTGTAACACTTCACAATATGTATATGTTTACTATATTAATAAAATTATGACAAAAAAAAAATTATGTATTTTAGTTGAATGAAAAAAAATAAACTTAGGTTTTTAATTCTTTCCTTGAACATAAATGATGCATTTTTTTCCGTATGTACTTCACAATGTTTATTAAATACATTGATATTGTCATTGATATGACAAATAATTACTAGGACCATGCAGAAACAATGCTTTTTTTTTTTTTTTTTGAAAAAAAATGGATGAACAAACCTTTAACAATCAAGAAATTAATGACTACTACCAAGAAAATTTTAATAGCACGAATCTTGATTATTTTGCTAGCCAAGTTTTTGGTGATGCACAATTGGAATAACAGACACTAGTATTTCTGTTACCTCATCAACTTCATCATCAACATCGAATCCTTTATGGCAACATTTCAATAGAGATCCATCTGATGCACAAGGTTATAATGTTTGTAAAAAATGTTCAATTAAGTATAAACTAACAACAGGTACTACAGCACTTCGTAAACATCTCAATGACCATCACCAAATAGACATATCTGTTAGGAGTGTTAGAAAACAAAGAACAATTACTGAAATCGAACCTTTTGATGAACAGAAACAAATGGAACATACTAAATATCTTGTTCAATGGTTAATTTGCAATCTTCAGCCTTTTATCACCATTGACAACTCTTATTTTAGAGCATTTGTTAGTCACTTCTGTCCTCGTTATACTATGCTTGAGTGACACCAAGTAAAGGATCTTATAATTGGTGGATTTAATAGTCAGAGAACAAAAATTGCTAATGAGCTTCATCAAATTGAGGGACAATATTCATTGATGGCTGACATGTGGACTTCCACAAATCGAGATGCTTGTTTAGGAAGAACAATACACTATATAGATTCAAATTGGAAACTAAGTAATTTTCTCCTTGATATCATCCCTTTTACCACTAAACATACTGGTGAAAATATTGCTGGTGAAAATAAACGTGTTTTAGATGAACTCAATATTTCTAGTGAAATCATTGCACTAACCACTGATAATGAATCTAAGCAAGGATTAGAGTTAGTTAGTAATTCAATTAATAAAGTACGTGAATTAATGGGAAAAATTAAAACTTCAACTCTCCTCAGTGATCAACTTCGTGGTTTTTGTAATTTAAAAGAGATCCATAACTATAAACCTGTTTTGAATGTGGAAACCCGCTGGAACTCAACTTACTATATGTTAAAACGTTTGGAGCAACTTGAACCAGCAATGGTTTTACTTGCTGCAGATAATAACAACATCAAAAATCTTTATCCTAATGAAAATGATTGGATTATAATTAGGGTAAATATTGGTATTTTCTTAAAAAAAAATCTTCACAAAAACAGGGAACATTAATAATTAATACCTGATATCCTCATCATATTTTATAGGATACTATATTACTTCTTGAACCCTTAGAACAAGCTACAAAGCACCTTTCAGCATCATCATATCCAACAATGGGTGATATTCGTTTAGTCTTTGAAGGTATCCAGGTATATTTAGAAGATCAAATAAGAGAGGAAGGAATCACACAGGATAAAATGGCTTCTTCAAAAAATTGATAAGTATTGGCAAATTATGGATCATTCTTCAATCATTTCAGCAATCTTAGATCCTCGAACCAAGCTCACAATTCTTTCAGAAGAAAACCATCAAATGGCTTGTGGACACATTTGAACAAAATTTGAAACATACCAGAGGCACTCTCCTAACACACAATCTTCTGGAAGAAGACTATCATCATCCACCACCACAAATACAACTTGTCAATTTTTCACTCAACTTCGATGTAATTCAACTACACCACAGATTGCTCCAACACATTCACTATCAGAGTTAGATTGCTATCTAGCATTACCAATAGATGATGAAACAGAGCCTCTATTATGGTGGCAGGCACATGCAAAAGAATATCCAGTTTTAAGTAATATGGCATGAGATTATCTCACCATTCAAGCAACTAGTGTTCTGTCAGAAGAGGCATTCTCAATTGCTGGAAATACAATAAGTAAAACTCAAAATCGTTTGTCATCAGAGACTGCAAGAGCATGCTTATGTTTGAAGAGCTGGATTATTAATAAAATAGGAAATTAGAGTACAAAATATTTTATCTTTTTTTCAATAATAGTAATAATAAGCAATAAAACAATACATTTGTTTATTTTTATATTTATATATATATGTAATATTTTTGATTAAATATTTATGTCACATTTTTTTATCATTGTGTAACTGTTCAAACTGCTCAAACCGCTTTTAATGAAACTGCCCATCCCTAATTGATGTGTTGGTGTGTAGCACATGTGGCACGTGGGGAAAATCCGATAATGCCAAAAAGAAACCAGATATCAAAAAGAAATGAAAATCCAAATACAAGAAATGAGTAAGTGTTATTTTTTTTTTAAAAGGTGGTGATGGTTGGGACGCATTGCAACTGTTGCTGCTACTCTAGTTTGAAATAAATTTCCTTATCATCAATTTCTTTTAATACTTTTTTCTTTAGTTTACTCAATTTTTTCTTTTTATTGTTGCTAGTCACTTTTTTTTTTGATAATAATGATAATATCTAAACAATAAAAAATCTTTGATAAAATAATGTTAGTATGCAAGTTTTTTTAGTTTGTTTGTATATATTTGTTTGGTTGCCACTATACAAGTTAGAGTCATCAAAAGAAATGACACTCGGGATTTTGATTCAACATATTGTGGAAGAACACCCCCTAACTGTACTTCAAGGCAATAAATTGGAAGTACAAATTGTCAAAAGAAATGACATGGACTTTCGATTCAACACAATATGGAAGAGTACCCCCTAATTGTACTCCAAGGCAATAAGTTGGAAGTTATATACCAACTTAAAGCAGGAAACATGACACTTGTATAATTTTAGGCACATTGACAAAATAACAACCCCAGGATTTCATTCAACACTAATATTTAAGAGTGGAAGAGTACCCCATAAATTATACATAAATCTTTTGTTCTGTTTAGGACTGAAAATCAAAAACAAAAAAACTTTGCCTTGACCTTGATTTCAATAAAAACAAAGAGATGAATTTATTTATTGTACTTAAGTAAAATTTGGTTTTTTCATTAAAAAAAAAATTTGTTGTTAAGATGGTTATTGAATCATAATGTGCATGATACAAAGTTATTATGTCACATTTTTTAATAAAAATAGATAGTTTGATAATTTCTAAAGATTCCTATTTCTTAATATAGTATATGCAAACATGCAAATGTGGCTGCTGTAATAAAGTTTGGGCCACATTGTTTTAACCCAAAAATGGTCTGAAAACACATTCCTGCTTAATATTTTTTCTCTAATTTTTTTTATACCATGCAAATGTGTTTTTTAATTTTATCATTAAATTTGTTTTTTTTTAATGTTACAATTATCTCTATTACCAGTTGATCTGTAAAAATAATGTCAACGTGGTATTTTTTTCTGAGTACATAATTTTTGTATCCTTAAAGCACATACTGAATTATATATGTATTAAAATAGTTTTTCTTGTACAGGAAAATGAAACAAGTGGAAGCATATTATCAATTAAAAACTGAGTGAGTTATGGTAAGTCTACCTACTGAGCACCTTTCTTTCATGGTTATTGAAGATATAATTTTTTTAATTTCATAATCACATTGTAGAAAAAACATAAGGTTGAAACCTTGCAAAATGCAAGCAACCAACTCTTGGATTTTCAAGAAAAACTGACTGAAGAAATGAGAAAGGAACCTTTGCTGGAATCTACAGCTGCTATAATAATTGATGAAGATAGCAACGGGAAGAGTGTAAAAGACTATTATAAAACTCTGAGTCCTACAAATAAAGGGCAGATGAAAAATCCATTTCTTTCAGTAAAGCAATGGGGGAGATCTCAATGAAGACAGAAGTTTTGAAATTTTTTAGAGAATTAGCAGAATTAATTATTCTGAATTTTAATTCTTTAGGATGATGAAGATCAGACAAGTCAGCATTTTAAAGAACTGAAGAAGTCGAAATCACCATTCTGGAATAAGGTTAGGATATGATTTAGTTTTTTGTCTCTAACTTTTACAAGAGGTAAATCAAATCAAAAAAAAATTTTTTTTTTATTATTATTATTTAGGGGAACATGTTGTCTGATGGTATTAATATCAAAATTGAAAAACCAATCCCCCTAAATTTAATACCATTGGATGATTCCTCTCAAGAAACCGATGATGATGGTGATGATGAAAATATACCTCCAGAAGAATCATTTATTTCTGCACTTTCAGGTCAGAACGTTGGTGACATCTATGCTAATAAGATTTCTGAAAATACAAAAGCAACCAAAAAAAAGAAGAAATTAATGGCCATTGAAAAATCTATACTGTGTTATGGTGCATCAAATATAATTGATTTATCTGCTCACATGAAGAGTTGGTTTTGTGTTGATGATAAGAAGTTTATTATGAAAAATCATAAGTCTATGTTGCGAGTTCCTGAACTGGCAGGTGAAGATAACTTATTTGTAGGTTTTTATTCATGAATATCATTAAGTGGGTTACACACTATTAAAACAGCAAAAATCCCTTAAAAACATGAGTTGATCACTTGATTTTAATAGTGTGTGACCATGTATGACCCCCTTATGATATTCATGAATACAAACCCTATTTATTTGTTTTGAAAATTGAGAATGTACAAGTTTTGTTTTTTTATAAATTTAACTTGTTTGCCTCCATTCATACATATTGATTCATATCCTTGTAGATGGTACATGAAGGGAAAGTAGATCAGGTGTATAAACACTGTATAGAAACTCATATTAAGTCAGAAGAAAATAGCTATTTATATAGGATCAGCAAGATATACAGTGACTTGTGAGTTATTTGATTATACCTGATCTTTATTTTTTTTGTGAATCTAATTCTTATTATTCAATGTATATATATACATACAGCATTTACAAAAGCAAGGACCAAGTGGATATTTTGGATTTTGATCTGAATAATATACACACAGAAGTTGATGTAATTTTAAAAACCTGCACATATATTGTCAAGGGACCGAGCAAATATATTTGAGATGGTTGGTATAAATATTATTTGGTTTGTTTGTGATTCATACAATATAACCATTTCAACAATTTAAATTTATGCACATTTAAGGGGGGAGTCTTTTTGCCCATTAAGTAAAAGTACGAATATTATACCAATGGATGTAAATGTGATGTCTGCTTCATATCAATTTCAGGAGTTGATATTGGTGAATGGGAGTTTTCTGTAAGAGCTGTAGTGACCAAGACTATCAGTGATAGATGCCATTCCACTCAAATAAATCAATCAATTTTAAATGGATTACTAAAATATAATTTCAATGATGAACAAGTTAGAGACATCCAAGTGCCTTTTTTGCAGTTTGGTGGCACAAGTGGACAATTGTTAATTGAAGATCTGGTGGAAAACTTTTATGTCGTTTTTCCTGGACCCAAATTTAAATTACCTACAAAACTGAGATATTAGAAAACTGAAGACTTCTATCAATATCATCAAGTTGGTTATGGTAAGTTTATGATTCTATTCCTGTCATAAGAAAAATTTGTATCACTAATTTGTTTTAACATGTGTAGGATATGTATAAAAAAATGTGCAAGACTATAGAAAATCTAGAAACAACACATCATGAGTTTGATGATATTTTTAGTGATGATGACATAGTTGATACAGCCAAACCTACTCATTGTAAATACAAATATATTCACAAACCATGGTGGACCCCAAAAGCAAAAAAATCATAACAGATAATGGGAAATTTGTTAACTTGAAATCATAAAATTTAAAATATGAATATGTATTTAGTTACATATTGGTTTATCAATGATTGAATGCATTATTGAAAATAATAAAGGTAGTTCACGTTGTCTTTTTAGCTATGTTTTAGTATACTGTGATCAAATAAGTACACATCATTACAAATTCATGAAATTATGTGACATTGAAAGAATTTATGATATGTATTCCTTGAACTAGTTAATGATGATACAAATTTTTGAAATAAAAATATGTTTGATATTTGATATAACATTTAAAATATATATACAATTTATATTAGTTCCATCCATACATCAGTGTTTCCTTCTTTTTTTTTAGTGCATAGACTGTCTTTTATTATTACTATTATTATATAAATAAATAATCAGAGCAGACCTAAAACCACAGGGTATTACTAAAGCTCACCACTGATAGTAATTGTCATCATTGGACAAAACTACATAATTCATGACCAACCCTAGCCTCATGTAAATTTAATAATTCCTTGGATAGCACTGCCAGTTTTAAATATTATTTATTATTCACTTTTCATCTTACAGATATATATATATATATTTTTTCTTCCCACAAAAAAAAAAAAAATTTCAAAGATGGATGCTCAAGGATAAATTACACAACACATTAAATGAATCTATCAATAAAGATGACTTGTCAGTTAAAATTATTGAATTATTGAACGAAACACTTGAAACATTAAAAATATTAGGAAATTGTAACAAATAAAAGGAAATGATCCTGATGAATTTCATAAATTGGTAATTGTAATAAAATATTACTTATCCGAGTTAGATAAAGTGGAAAAAGGAAAGCATCAAGAGTCCTTCATGATCAATAAATTAAATGATGAATTATCCAGAACGTATAATAAGTTAAATGAGGAGATTTTGTATAAAGTCTGTTACAATGAAAAAGAAGTCAAAAAAATGTGGAAATGAAGGAATAGTTTATTACAAGCATAATCCAAATCCAGAGCATTATTGTAAATGTATTTGATGGATTCTGTTTGACAAATTTAGTGATATTGAATATTTAGCTAAAGGTTGTTTTGGTGAAGTTTATAAGGCAGCTTGTAAGAATTATTGCTACTATAAAAGGAAATATAGAAAAGGAGATGTTGATTGTTTTAAAAAGAATATATAATTCAGATGATAAAATTGTAGATGTTCTAAAAAATGGTAAAGTTTAATGTAATATTGGTAAATTTCATAGACAATTTTCTCTTTCCTTAGATAACCTTTCAGTGTTTGAGTATCATTTATTTTAAAAATATATGGGGCAATTTTTTCACCTTGTTCTTCAAAATACTTCTAATGGTGCTGTAATTTTTGGGTTCCATAGTAGATCTGATATAAATGAGTTTCATATTAACTATTTTTATATAGAGGTAATTCTATATATCACTTAAATAATAAATGGAATATTATAAAACTGTTAATTATAATCACATTACAAACGACTAAATTTTGATCCCTGAAATCTTTGGTAACACCAATGTTCACTTTGTCTGGTTTTGTTGCAGCATGCCCATATATATTAATATATTAATATAATCTTTTAAAGAAATTTAAGGGGACTAAATTACAGTGACTAGTCATGAATTAAATTTTTCATATCTCCCACTAGTGAACCAAAAAAAAAAATCACATCTGAATTCAAGGGTTGAAGTTTTATTTATAATTTTGTTTTGCAAATAAGATTGTAATTGTTCAAAAATAAAACCGGAACAAACATCTTTATTTTTACTACAAAAACTACCATTTAATCATTTCAAATTTCTTTAATATTAAAAAAAAAAAAGGTCTTTGAGCCAAAAAAAAAGAGAACAAGACAAGAGTAAGTATTGTTTTTTTTTAAAACGGTGGTTGTGCGCATTTTCGTCATTCTAGTTTGTAATATATCAATTATGAGAAAGATTAAAATCCGATTTTGTTACATGAAATACTCGAATTTTCAAAAAAAAATGTGGGGGACAGCTATCCTATTTATATGTTTTGGATTTAATAAATAGAGTACTGTCTTGGCCTGAGTGATGTCATTTTTTTGCTCTTTGCAACAAAGAAGATGCAATCCCAAACCCAACAATTTAAAATAAATGAATTTTTGTTCTTGCGTAGCATGGTGTACATAATTGGTAACACAAAAAGCTCACATTGTGTTCTCAGTTGTGAGCTTGTTTATTTGTAACATTCATTTATTTCGCGTCGTTTTATTTATCTTATTATTTTTGTCTGTCCTATATGTCCTATAATCATCCGGGTAGATTGACAAGTTTATTAATTATTGTTTATATTATTATTTATATTTATCTTATGTATTTCTTATAAAAAGGACATCAATCTAAGTTAATAAAGTAACTTGTAATTTTACGATAATTAAATTACTTAATTTGTTTAAATAAACCATTTAAACATTTGAACGTTTACACATTCATTAAAACATTTATTTTTTATATTTTTATATAATGTCATATGCCAAATTATTATCATCGTTATCACTAGAGAGGAAGGAATTTGTATATAAAATTTACAATAAAATGCAAGATAATGCTAATGTTAATTCTAATAATGGAAATATAAAATATTATTATTTTTCATTAGTCAAGAAAAACAAGGAGCTTTCTGATGATGAAAAAGAATATTGTAAGGAAAGGTTTATTTATCAGGTTGAATTAAGAAATGCAATATATAAATGGGGTAAACCAAAAAAATGTAACAAGTGTAAATTGACAAGATACTCTGATAGGTTCTGTGAAGGTTGTATTAGTTTACAATTACAGAGTCTTTTCACCACTTGGACATCTGGAAATAACATAGTTGACAACTTTATTCAACAATCTCAAATGAAATCTTCTCTGCCAAACCATATTTTAGAATGGATACCTTTTGAGCAATTTAAAGAAGTAACAAAGTTGGCAAAAGGTGGATTTAGTTCAATTTATACTGCTAGATGGACAAGAGGAAATATTATTGATTATGACGAAAATAAAAAGGAATTTGGTTATTTGGGAAGGAGACTAGTAGTATTAAAAAGTTTAAATGATTCAAGTAATCCAGGAAAAGCCTTTTTTGATGAGGTTGGTAGTTTTCATTTAAAACAAAATAAACAATACTTTATTATATAATACTAATTGATTTTATTTCAATTTCAGGCAATAAATTATTCTAAAATTAAAGCATCACTGATTGTTCAGTGCTATGGTATAACCAAATTCCCAGATAATGGAAATTATGCAATTGTTTTAAATTATTTATCAGATGGAAGTTTAAGGGGCCATTTACAAAAAAATCATTTAAATTTAACATTAAAAGACAGAATTGCAATATTTTATTATTTATGTTATGCATTAGATGAGATACATGAAAAAGATTTAATCCATTGTGATTTACATAGTGGTAATATATTAATAAGTGGAGATCGTTGCTTTATTACAGATTTGGGATTATGTGGACCAGTTGATGAAAAATCATCAGGTAAAGTCTATGGGATTGTATCATATGTTGCACCCGAACTACTTAGAAGCAATAACACAAAGAACACCAAAGAAACAGATATCTATAGTGTTGGGATGTTAATGTGGGAAATATTTGCAGGTCATCCACCATTTGATGATAGAGCTCACAACCATCGTTTGACTTTTGATATCTGTGAAGGTTTACGACCACCAATATTACCTGAAATACCTGATTATTATGCACAAATGATGCAGAGGTGTTGGGATGTGGATCCATCAAAAAGACCAACTAGTAGAGAGCTTTGGGAATTTGCTGATAATAAACGTGATAAAATTATTAAAAATAATAGTAACAACAATAGTTTAATAAAAAGATTATTCTTTTCTAAAACCAAAAAACATGGTTCTAATAATGATGGTGGCAGCAGCAGTGATGGTATTAATAGTAATAATGATTCGCAACAAGCACACAAATCACATCCAGATTCATATCATCAAAGTAGAATATTGGATAAATTGGATGAAGAAATTGCTAAATCAAAAAGCTTAAGTTATACAAGTAATGATAGTTCATTGAATAATCTTGATTTTTTCTAAAATGTTAACAAAGGCAAATAAAAATAATTAACTGGAACTTATTATCCATTAATTATTATTAACAATATTTTTTGATCGCATTAAATTCTAACAATTAAAAGAAAGAATTGATGAATGACTAATTTAATTACCACTATAAAAAATTTATTTATTATCTTTCTATTTGTCTTTTTATTTATCTTTATTTTATTTCTTAAAACTAAATTATAAATAATATTTTGAAATAATAAACTTTTTGATTCTTGTTAAATTGTGGTATCATTTCGGTTAATTAACAATTATGGGCCTGACTTTTGGGCTACTCTTGTCAGTTAATTAGTTTACAAATTTACTTTGGTTTCCTCTTTTTTACACCTAGATGAATCTGTGAGCACACTTAATAGTACCAGATAACTATAAATAAATAAAGATGGCCCTTTACAAAACTCGAGGGCTTCTATAAAGTCCCTTTTATTCGCTTGTGATCGATTTACTCGTTTACATTTATTGACTCGCTTTGGTTTACTTGCAAAACAACTCAAGTAGCTTGTTTAACAGCCTTACATTTACAATTACAATAACACCAGCATTTCCAATTAACCTTTGGACGATGCTTCACTAACACTCACCATTTAATCAACGTTAATCCTAACCTTTGCTTACTCACTAAAGCAACTTACATTACTAATCGTTGTTAACACTCACTAGTTACCAACGTTAAACCTAACCTTGCTTGCTTGCTCACTAAAGCAAATAAATGTGGCATTTTACCAAAGCTCCACAATTGTTACCTTTTACCAAGGAACTACACTTGTTACTTTTATCAAAGCACTTGAAATAAAAACAACGATTTTATTTTTATTTTATTTCTAAAGGCTCATTAACGTTTAATAAAAATAATGATTCTATCAGAGTTTTATTTTATCAGAATGTCAACTA